TAAACAAATAACCCCCACCTTATTTCAGTGAGCACTTCACCATGTGCCAGGAACTTTGCATACACGTTTTTGTTTGTGCTTAGGAAAACATTTCAAAGGTGGATTTCTTTTCCCTACTTCTTCCATTAGGAAACTGAGGCCTCTAGGGGTTAGGAAATATGTAAATATGAATAAAGAATATTGGTAGACTTGTCTATGTCTGTCTTCTGGCTGCAGTTAGATGCACCAGCCCTGACTCGAAGAACAGGACACACATGTCCTCCAGCACAGGGCTCACCTGTGGGACCGCAACTTGTGCACTTGTGTTTAAAACAACAGAGCTGGGAATCTGACTGGGGTGAACTTGATTCCCACCCGAAACTTTATGAAATAGTCACTCCCTCTTTGCTTATTTCCTACTATGCATTTATCTGTTCTTTACACATTGTAGGTTAATTATCAACTTTAGCCCTCATTTTGCACTCTGCTTTTCTTAATGATATTCACGTTTGCTACCTTGTCTTGTGGACCCTGTTCTGGAGGAGTCATGTACCCTCCTTTTTTTTTTTTTTAAGTCAGAGCAGATGTACTGAACTTTAGACAGAAAACAAACACATACATAGCTACTAGCATCCTTTCATCTGCATGTAAATACTACCCCTTAATTAACTGTACACGGGCATTCAAAACTACCTTCTGTATTTTACTGACAATAGATGGTATGCACAATAAGATGCATTGTTATTTTATGAGTCACTAAGAAAGAAACATATATGACCAATTATAATAGGATGCTATCTTATCAACTCTAAGATATAATTCAATTTTAGAAATATTAATTTGTGAATAAAATGTATGTGGTCTTAGAATTGACGAAATCCGGTATGTGTTACATAGCTCTTGTAGCTGGCTATATTGACTAAGTATTCTTTGCATGGATCTAATTTACGCACGCAACTCACTACTCCTTGACCTTTTATACAAGTTCCAGTGTGCATATATAGGCAGGCTGGCCCTGTGTTTGATCATACAGACCCGGGAACCAGACTGTCTGGCCTCTTCCACTTACTAGCTGATGCCCCTTGGGAAAGTTTCTTAACCTTTCAGTGGGTCATATTCTCTTCTCTAAAACACAGATAATAAAATCTAACTTATCATGAGGATTAAATGAGTGAAACAGTGCCTTGCACGCATTAAGTGCTTAAAATGTATTTACTGTGAACATAGCTGTTATTATGATCACAGAGTACATGAAGATGTGAGCTTTACTGAACTCCTGATGCAAATCTTCACAATGCCCAGAGCATTCCATCTCAACTTCAAGATGCAAACCTTTAGAAGCATGCAGCTGTTCCAGACATCAAGAATGAATGCTGAGGCCATAATCACGCCAGTTCTACAATCTGCCATGAAAGCCAGTCATTCCAAGTCTTATATCCCCAGAGGACATA